TTCTTTCTACTTTTTGCCCTTCCCCAGGGAACTTTCATACACAATCACAGCTTCGGGCATTATCTGGAGGCCAGACACTTCCCAACACAGATCACTGTTTCTTAGTATATCCCACCCTGAACTGCTATCTCTTTCCCTAACAGCCACCTCCAAGTTCTCCACTGTTTCCGTAGTCAGTGGCACCTCCATCCATACATCCAGACAGCTCACCAGAACCTGGACCTTCTTATTGGAGCCATCTGTCAGTCTTTAGAGTCTATCAGCCTTAATCTTGAGTTTCTCTTCAATCTGATCCCTACTCGCTATCACAAGGAGCTCTGGTAGCGTAGAGGTTACAAGTTGGGCTGTTAACCTCAAGGTCAATAGTTTGAAACTATCAGCCATTCCACAGGAGAAAGATGAGGCTTTCTGCTCCTGTAAAGATTTGCAGCCTCAGAAACCCTACACAGGGTCACTATGAGTTGAACTGACTCCACGGTCCACAACCACACCTTGCGTTTTTTTCCCAGCTGGATTGCCACTGCATCTTCCCTCTGGATCACCAAGACCCCAGCCTGTTTCTCAGACACCCCTCCATCACAGCACTTACTACTGACACCATAAATGTTGTCTGTTTGTATGTTTCTACAGAGACCCTATGAGTTCTCTGAGAACAGACAATGTGTTTTGTTCCTTACAAATCGGGATGCTAACCTCAAGTTCAGCAGTTCGAAACTACCAGCTGTCCTGTGGGAGAAAGATGAGGCTTTCTGCTCCTGTAAAGATTTACAGCCTCAAAAACCCTGTGCAGGGTCGCTATGAGTCAGAACCGACTCCACGGTACTTAACAATAATTCTCAGAACTTGAGTTCTGGTGTGGCACTATGGGTTAATGTGCCAGACTGCAAAGACATTTGAACTGCAAGGTCAGCAGTTCAAGCTCACCAGCTATTCCTTGGAAACGCTACACAGGGTTGCTATGGGTCAGAACTGACTCGACTGCACTTCACAACAACAACAACCACATTCTCAGTACTTAGCACAATACCCTACTTACAGGAGGTGTTCAATGAACATTTATTAAATTATTAGATAAATAACTCCAAGGCCGTCAGATCCCAAGATGTCAGATCTTTCAGGAAGTGAAGTGAGATTGGTCCACCACAAAATTCCTGCTCACCAACTCCAATCCTGTTATAGCTAAAGCTGTGAAGTCAAGGGATTGGAAAACTGCACGTATAAGTCAAAAATTAGCCACACTACAGCTATATTAAAATGCCCATTTACATCATGGCTGAGATGACAACATTGAATGTGCATGTGAAATGATTCTGTTGAATAGACAAGCAACAGTGGATTATGTGGCAAATCATTTGCAAATCAGCCCTGGCTCTGCCTATGAAATAATCCATGACAGACTTGGAATTAGAAAAGTATGTGTGAGATGGGTACTGAACCAGCTCACGGAAGAGCAAAAACATAAGCATTTCAACAACTGCAAGCAAAGTTTGGACCGATACTCCAAGGAAGGTAAAAGTTTCTTTAACAAAATCATTACTGGTGATGAGACATAGATTCATCACTATGAGCCTCAGAGCAAACAGCGGAGCATGGAAAGGAAACATCTTACATCACCAACCACGAAAAAGTTCAAAAGTCAGCCACCAACTGGAAAAGTGATGCTTATAGTTTTCTAGGATTCTCAAAGGCCAGTACTGGAACACTATCAGGAAATAGGTTTAACAATCAACAGTGCTTGTTACAGTGAGATGCTCACTGAAGAGCTGAAGCCTAAACTTGGGATTAAACGTAGAGGACTGTGATCCGAGGGCATTGCGATCTTGCATAAAATGCATATCCATTCATACACCTCTGCCCACACTGTTGACACTTGGCAAAAACTTGGTTTAAGAGTTAAAACATCCTCCCGATAGTCCTGATCTTGCTCCATCGGATGTTCACATGTTTGAGCCCCTGAAAGCAGCCCTGCCAGAACAAAGATTCACCTCTGATGAAGAAATGAAGACAGCAGTGCGTTTATGGCTTACAGCTCAGCCTAAAACATTATTTAATAAGGAAGTACGAAAGCTTGTTGACAAATGGGCAAAGTATATTGAAAAGCAAGATTATGTTGAGAATGATGTATTTGTCTTTTTTAAAAGTTAATTAAAAAAATTTCTATTGCCAGAGGGTGGATAATTTTTGACTTACCCTCATAATGTAAACTTATGTCACAAACTCCTTATTTCCTTCCCTGCCACCCTCTCCTGACTTTGTACTTCCCTAGTTTTTGGCTAAGATACTTCTGGTCTTCTTTCTCCCTTCTCCTTTCAAACCATATTCTTAGCCAAACAGTTCATTTCTGCTCTTAAGCTCTCACCAGCACTTACATTTCTGGTCTTTCTTTCCAATTGCAGAAAGCAACCTCTGGCCCATTCTAAAAGCGTCAGGCTTCAGTGACCCGTGTCCAGGAGAGCGGAGGAGGAGGGAGGGGCAGGTCTGAGGGAGATGTGCTGGCTGGTCCTGGAACCACATCACAACCTGAATGTGTCTCATGTGAATTCAGCCAGCTCGTAACCAGGTTTTTTGGGGTGTGTGTTGCCCATCCCAAATCCTCTGAACCAGGATATCAGCTTAGAATCTGTACTTGGCAATTATACTTTAGGTGTAATAAGAAGAAAACAAAGCCTTTTGTTGATTGTTTGAAGAATTCTCTGTAGTCTTGGTAACAACTTAGCAAGCACGGTGGTTAAGCACGTGACTACTAACTGAAAGGTCGAGGGTTTAAACCCGCCAGCTGTTCCACAGGAGAAAGATGGGGCCATCTGTTTCTGTAAAGCTCACAGCCTAGAAGGCTGCCCCTGTGGGCAGCTCTGCTCTGTCCCATGGGCTCACTAGGAACCGGAACTGACTGGACAGCTATGGGTTTATTGGGTTCTGAGTACCACTTGGGTTGGGAAAAAAACAGTATTTATCAGGTAGAAAACTGCTATTTTTTTCCTGGAAAACCATCCTAATAGACTTATAAAAGACAGACACTAAGAAAGTTTGAAGTCCCAATCTGATAGTGGAGGACTGGGATAGAGGAAAGAAGAGTCTTTGAAGAAAGGCAATCCCTACCAACATGGTGGCAGATGAGGTTCTGAGTGTGAGAAGCGGGCCTTGCCAATGAGGTATTTCTTGTGTTCTGGCACATGAGGATATTAGGAGAGTTTTTGCTTACTCTATGCCATAGCATTCCTGGAACTTCAGTAAAGTCTGCTGAACACCAAAAACCAAAACCAAACCCAATGCCATCGAGTTGATTACAATTCTTGGTGACCATGCAGGACAGAGTGGTGGCAGTGGTGGTGGCTGTGTGCCATGGAGTCGGTTCCGGCTCAGAGCGACCCTGTACAGGGTTTCCAAGGCTGTAAATCTTTACGGGAACAGAAAGCCTCATCTTTCTCCTGTGGAACAGCTGGTAGTTTCGAACTGCTGACCTTGAGGTTTGCAGCCCAATTCATAACCACTATGCTACCAGAGCTCCTTAGGACAGAGCAGAACTGGCCTATAATCCAGGACTGTAAACTTTATGGAAGCAGACTGTCAGAGCTTCTTCTGTGCAGCAGCTGGTAGATCCGAACTGATGACTTTTAGGTTAACAGCTGAGTGCTTAACCAATGTACCACCAGGACACGATCTGCTGAACCCAGCATGGATGTGACTTTAGGATGGGAAGGAAGGGGGAGTGGTACCCAGTGTGGGGTGAAGCAACAGCCCGAGCACACTGCCCACACATGGAGACCACTTCAGGATGGGCGGGGAGTTGGAGTGAGAGGACCACAAGAATGCAAACCTCTAGGAACCTCGGGAACTATGGGGTCCCGTAAGGTAGCCACTCACCACGTGGGGCCAGAGAGAGCTTGAATGTGGCAACTCAACCTAGATGTGGTCAGCGTTAGTTTAAAAAAGATGTCAAATAGCCGTTAACTTTTATACCAGTTCTGTGTTGAAGCAATGTTATTTTCAAAATATTGGGTTAAATAAATATGTTATTAAGAGTAATTACAAGTGTACCTTTGACCCTTTTAAGGTAGTTATTAGAAAATTTAAGGAGCATTTGGTGGCACAGTGGTTTAAGTGCAGGGATGCTAACCACAAGGTCATTGGTTCAAACCTACCAACCACTATGAAGGAAAACGATGAGGCTGTCCGCTCCCGTAAAGACTTATGATCTCAGAAACCCTATGGAGCAGTTCTAGTCTGTCTTAAAGGGGCAGACTCTATGGTAGTGAGTTTTTTTGGTTTACTAGAAAACTTTGGATCACATGCACATACATACCTACCACACACACCACATACACACACCACACACACACACACATACCTACTACACATGCACCAAGACATACCACATATACACACAAATCACACCACATACATACGCATTCATCACACTTACACATACAACACCATATACATACCCATACCCACTACATACACACCATACCCACATACAAACACCACACCCACACACAAACCATACCCTCATACACTCACACAGCACACACACTCAAATTCACCACACACACCTACACTACACCACATACACACCCACAGCACACACCACACCCACACCAAACACACCCACACCATACATTTCACACCCCCACCCCACACAATGACTCAGATCCTAATGCTACAAGTTTCCCAGTCCTCCTCTGACAGTGAGGTGCTGAGAAGATGCTCCTTTATGATAAGTCCGTGGGACGTCCGAGGAAAAGAAGGATGATAAAGAGTGAAACAGGAATCTACATTCATGCTGCTCTCCCAGGCATGGTCCTCCTCCCAGGACCAGGAGCCTTGGGGAACACCCACTGGACTGTGCACCACTGAGTCTACTTGAACCCCAAACTGAGGTAAATAATTCCAGGGCTCCATCCAGCACACCCAGCGTGGAGTTAAGGTGATAAGGCAAACCTCAAGGCAAGCACTGACTGACACATGGCACTAAGCCAGGAGGCGGGGAGACAGCCTACCTTTGCAGGTGAAGCATTTGATGTGGAAGTGTTTGGTCTGGACCCGAAGCACTTCGCCCTTACATGGTTCCCCACACTTGTGGCAGTGGATGACAGGTTTCTCTGACGAGTGGGGAGGGTCCTGAGGGTGGGCAACTGAAAGACACACAACACAAGATTCATGTGAGTAGAAAGCATCTCTACAGAAGGGTGATTATCGAGGCCCCGACGTATCACATCATAATCTGGTATCGAATGATCCACTGGACTTGCTCCTTTGTGGAACCTTCCACCAGCCCTTCCTCCCAAACTCCTCCAGAGCTTCATTAGAACTACATAACAGGCAATGAAATGTAGTCTTATTTGCTTCATTATTTTGTATGTACTTAAGAGTTCCCCGGTGGTGGAAATGGTTCACGTGCTTGGTTGTTAAACGAAAGACTAGACATCGAAGCCCATCCCGAGGAGGCTCTGAAGAGAATTGAGTACTCCTCCTGCCTGCCTCAGCTCTGCAGGACACTACACAATACTCAACCTCCAGAGGAGCTCAAGAATGTCCCCCAGCTTATGCACTGTATGTGGTGACTACTTGCCAACTGGAACCAGTTCAACGGCAACTGGAGGTACTGGTTTCTAGCCTACTTTGCCAGAGTCATTTCAGATCTCCCTGTGGCATCTCACCACAATGCAGGCAGAAAAAAAAAAAAAAAAATCCACATGGATCTCTCTGAACCTCAAGTTTCTTCTTCTGTAAAATGAAAAAAGTTGGACCAGAGGATTTCTACAGTCTCCTTCACCACTCAGATCATATGATCAAACTTATTTGCCCATTTTCCAGAGTGTGGCCTTTAGAGAAGGGAGTCATTGGGGACTGCCTTGCCCCAAGAGTGAGACTAGGGTGTGGAGCCAGGGGAGAAGGCAACAAGCAGTTTCGGCTGTAAAGTAATCAAATGTCCCTGTCAGGTGCAGATCCCTAGCCAGAGAGCACAGGATGGCATGCACTGATATTAATTTCTTCTTCTGTTTTAGGATCTTTGAAAGAGAAATCATGTGACATTAAAAAACAGATCACCTAAGCACCTATATGTGCAGAATCTGAGATAAAGAAACAGTGAACCTAAAATAAATGAACACTAAGAACAAAGACACGTTTTCTCTCAAATGGTAACAATGGGGTGACCAGGAGGAGATGTGGGCAGGTCTTGTTGAAACTTGATTTAGAAGGTACCTTTCAGTGAGGAGCCTATCGTCCACCTTGAGGATAATAACCCCTTGTTTCTCTCAGACCAATGTTAACATTCTCAGTTCGCCTGGAAAGAGTTTGAACAAGACAGTTCAAATGATCCCTTACCAACTACATTCTTAGAGACAAGGGTCCTCTTGTGAAAGTCTGACTTGGAGCAGGTGTGGTTTCAGGATGGACACTGGAGCCGCATTCTCTGCTGGACCCTGCGAGTGTCCTGTGGAGGTGCTGACTATGTGTGGTTCACCTGCATTTCCTTATCTACCTGCTGACATCTCTCTTGGTAACCTGTATTTACAACAGTACCGAGGACTGTGATAGCATCTAAAGGCGTTAAGGAGGGGCCCCATCAAGATCCCAAAACAACCAGTGACGTCTAACGTGATTGGATCAAGGCCCATCACTATCCACTTGAGCGTTAAAATAAAACTTTCCTTTAACAATCTCTGCTTTAAGTGCTATAAGAGAAAATACGAAGCTTTAAAAAACTTCTTCAAGTTAATCCCCTGGTATGGTGCTGTAGGAATAAGCCCTAGAACGGTAACTGCAAGATGGGTAGTTCCAACCCTTAGCTGCTCTAGGAAACCCTCAACAGCAGGGTCGTTATGAGTCAGAATGAACTTGATGGTATACAACAACAACGTAAGAATGGAGGAGGAATGCTGGCATGGTATTGTAGGATAATCACTGCACTGCTAACCATAAGGTCAGAGGTTCGAGTCCAGCAGCCACCACAGGAGAAAGACAGTCGTTCTGTTCCTGTAAAGATTTACAGCCTTGGAAACCCTATACACGGTCACTAAGAGTCAAAATGGATTCAGTGGGACTTAACAACAACATACGAATGGCAGAGTTCCTGGGTCGGGTAAATGGTTACTTAACTAAAATGTTGGAGGTTCCAGTCTATCCAGAGGTGCCTTGGGAGAAAAGTTTGGCAATCTACTTCTGAAAGACTAGTCACTGGGAAGCCTATAGAGCACAGCCATACTCTGACTCACACGGGCTCACTATGAATCAGAATCTACCCCAGGGCAAGTGGATCCTGGGTAAGAGTGCTGGAAAGTAATCCCGTAAAACCCAGACCCAGTATAAACAAGGCAGAAACCAGTCAGAGAAGGACAACACAAACATCTGTCACTAAAATTAACAGTAGAAAAGTGGTAAGAGGCAGGAAACCTGCAAACCTGAAAACCAAGGCAGTTCTGTTGAGTTCAGATAAGAAGTATTTCTCAAGCATCTTCTAAACAGCGCACCTTCTGTGGAATGGGTGATATCTTTCCCATTTGACAAATGAAGGAGCAGAGCCTCAGAGAAGTTAAACAACCTGCCCAAGGAGCAGTAAGTGCAAGGTCAAAGATCTGCTCAGGCTTTCCTGACTCCCAAAGTGCGCGTTCTTCACATGCTACTTGAATAAATCAGGAAGTGGTGATAAGTCAAACAATGATTTATGCAGCCACGCTCAGGTGTATTTCTGAGAGCAGTTGCTGGGACTTGGTTTATGAAGGGAAATAAGTAACAACTTATCACACAGTGAGTATGATAAGATGAAGCCAGCAGACCATGGCACCTGGTGGTCATCCTCAAGGTGGTACTGCCCATCTACCACTTTTTTTTTTTGGAATATGACAATGCATAAGCAAGCTAGGAATGGAAAAAAGCCATCCTCTTCTTAAACAACATTAGAATCTTGCGGCTCTCTGAGTGCAGTGGGGAATGTACCTCTGGATACAACACTATTCTCCAAGTCCTGCAGTTCCTTTTGACACTGGTATTTTTATACCTAAGCAAGCGAGCCATGCTGAGTAATGATGAGGGAAGGAAAATATCATTTCACTTCTTGGCCTTGCCCTTGGTCTGAACAAAGGTGCCAGTGCAAATGTTGGCACCAGCCACAAAGGTCAGACTTGCAATCAGCAGCTGCATTTTGCAAGTTTTTCCCTTTGGAAATATCTATTACACTGCAAAGTCCTCTGCACCCAGAGATGAGCAAAGAATAGATCATGTTTGTCTTTTCATCCTGTAAGAGCCTAGGTAGACACATAGCAGGATAATCTATTTGTGAAGAGAAGACTTTTTTTTTTCTTTTTTTAAAGGTTTTTATTGTGAACTGCATGATAGTTTACATGGGAGAACATTAGCTTTACACCATCATTTTATTGCAATGATTATGATCTCCTCCATGCATCATCATTCAACAGTATGATTGAATGATCTGTATTTTTTTTTGGGGGGGTTGTTTTGCTTTGGGGTGTGTGTGTATACAAAAACACTCAGGAATATAAAATAATTTAAATAACCAAAGGGTACATTTTGCAAGCCTGCCTCCTGGCCACCAGCACCCAATCCCACTCTTTCCATGAGTCCAGAGTCCTCAGCTGCTGCCTCTCTCCATGTCCCCATCTCTGCCTCCATCTCTGGTGTCGTTGCTTTTCTGGATAAGGTCCTACATTCCTCTTGTGCTCTTCTCCCTTGATGGTCCTAGGGTCCTCTGTTTCTGGACTGTAAGATTAACTACCCTCCCGTTTTTTTATTACAAAGCTTCTACCTTTATAGTTGTGACCTTTGCAATTAATCATGATAACAATTACTATGGAATCCTAAGAATCTTATCCCCATCTCCTTTTACCAGACCTGGGGAAGACTTTTCTTAATAGTTGTTGATGTTAGAGGTGTCATTGAGTCAGTGCCAACTCATGGTCTCACGTACAACAGAACAGAGCGCTGCTCATCCCTCGCCACCCTCACATTCGTTGCTGGTTTAGCCACTGCTGCAGCCACCCGTGATTTGCTAGAGACAGACAGATCCCAAACACCAGCATAGAATCAGAGGGGTTAATTTATCCCAACTCAAGTCAGTGAAGACAAAAGAATCTCTCCTTTTAAAAGATAAATAAAAAGGCTCAATTTCTTGCTCTGACAGCTCGGTTGTTACCAAATATACGCTGCTGGCTCGATTCGACATTTCTGAAATAAGCTGAGTTCACTGCAATCTACACATGACATGAATTCTGTATTCTTCAATTTGCCAGCTGGCTCTGTTGTTCATTTGTTACTTAATCGCTCCATCTTCCAGAGCCAGGGTGGCCCCTGCTGATTCATTCTACTGATGGGAAATGAGGAGCAAAGAGTCCCCTTGTCCAAACTTACCAGCGAGTTATTAACAGTTAGCACCAAGCAGTCAATGACTGACCTGGCATTAGGATAGGCCTGGTTAAAATCTTTCCTGGCTCACCAATTTTGCTGCTAAAATAAGAATGTTGTTATTGTTAAGTTCTGCTGAGTCAGTTCTGGCTCATAACAACCCTGTCTAGGGGTTCCAAAGAGTGACTGGTGGGTTTGAACTGCCAACTTCACGGTTAACAGTCCAGTGCAAACACCACAGCATGACTCCAAAATAAGAATGGATCAATGGTGAACCAAAACAATGGTTTCACACTTTCTAACCAAGGTGTTAATATATGTGAAGAGTCAATAATCTGCCTAGAGAAGTAAAGCTATTCCCCCCACTGCAAAATACCAGGCTTAGAGGGATGCTGCGGGTAGTAGGGGTGGGCCATCAAGCTGGTCCCAATTCACAGCGACCCTGGATGGAGCTTCTGATGCTGTAAGTCCTTACAGGGGCAGAAAACCTCATTTTCCTCCTGTGGAGCAGCTGGTAGACCTTGTGCTAGCAGTCCAGCTTGTAACCCACTTGTCTACCAGGATCTCTAAGTGGGATACTAGTAGCCAAGATAAAATACCCAAGACTAACTGAGGGGCTTCACACTGTCTTGCACAGTTAAGCAAAGCATGTCAGCAGTATCTCTGAAACCCAGTGTGCTTTCTTATTTTTCCCACAGGGAAAGACTCCCAAGCGCCCACTTGAATGAGCAAGTTATCACCCTGCAGAAGACGCAGACCAGGTGTGAATCCC